TCTGGAAGTGGCAATGCAGAGTGTGACCCGTGCGTGCCTGGGCCACAGGGTCCAGATGTGGGCAGGCTGGGCTCTCAAAGCCTAGGGACAGAGCCTTTGTGAAAGGCAGCAAGGGTTTGGGTCTCGGCTGTGGCAAGAAGCCAAGAGGCAGATGTCTTAACACTCTAACCTTCAAGGCTTTGTTTTGTTTTTCTGTTGATCTCGTTGCAACCTGTCTGATAAGTAACCAGCTAATTCTTGTAATTGCCTTTATTAGGTATTTAAATACAAGTGTGATTCGTATGTATTGTGTGAAACATCTTCCCACCCCTAAAATCTGACATGAGGGATCGTTATGTTGTGGTATATTGCATGTTATAGAGTTATAATTAGTAATTTAGTAAATGTAGCATAGGAACCTTCCAGAGTAAGTGTGGCTGGTGGTAGCCACACTTTTTTTATTTATTTGAAAGAGTTAAATGCAGAGGCAGAGGCAGAGAGAGAGAGAGAGAGAGAGAGGTCTTCCATCTGCTTGCTCATTCCCCAGATGGCCGCAACGGCTGGAGCTGCACTGATCCGAAGCCAGGAGCCAGGAGCTTCTGCTTTCGCGGGCCATAGCAGAGAGCTGGATGGGAAGTGGAGCAGCCAGGATTTGACCTGGCGCCCATATGATGCCAGCACTGCATGCGTGGTTTTATCCACTGTGCCACAGCGCCGGCCCTGGTAGCTACACTCTTACACACATGCAGTGTGTGTGAACGTCTGACGTTCTAGATTGTTCCTGTGTGTGGTGTTTACTTGCACTTCTCTTTGGAGTAACTTGTTGCACCGATGTAAACATTCTAGAACGATTTCTAGCAGTGAATGTGTGACTAATGCAGAGCCATCTGCGCGGGGGTGGGTGTGTTCTGTCCTTGGGGGTGCCGACCCCTTTCCCAGTTCAGCTGGAATCCTCCAAGTTTTCCGGGTCCGAGCAGGGAAGAGAGGGTTGGAGCAGGAGACGTCCCGTGTACTCAGGGTCCCTCCGCCGTTAGAGAAGCCGTTGTATTTACATTTTGAGTGAAAATTTGCTAGTCTTTATCCCTTTTTTGCCTTACTACCTACGAGTGCTTATTATCTTTAAGGCATGTTTAGGAGACAGCCGCTTGTGCAGTGTGAAAAGCCTGCACACAGGAGTGGCCGGCACATGGAACCACCCGCATTGCATTTCTGTCGCGCCACAAATAAAATGGCCGATTAGGACCGGCTGGAGGTCCTGCTCAAGCCCTCGGTTCTCGGTTGTGGCTTTGACCAAGTGCAAGTGCCTAGAATTCTTGAGTCTTGCTGGGGACCCTACACAAGCAGGATCCGCAGTTGGTGGGACAGGGAGCAGCCCTAGCAGCTCCCGCCTTGCTCTGGGGTGAATTCTCTCAGAGTTCTGAGTGCGGTTTGCGCTGGCTGGATGTTTCTTTGATGTGACCAGTTCTACGCAGTGCACAGGGTCCTCGTTTTCCGTGTTTTGGTCTGGTCAGACCCCACCCCACCCCAGTTCTTCAAGGGGAGTCAGAAGTAAAGAATAAAATCAGAGTGAAAGCTTTGACCTGAGTTGTTGAGCGCACGTGTTTTACTGTTCTGTGTTAGCGCCGGAATCTCTGGCCTGTGTTTGGGTGTGCCGTAGTAGTTGTTGACTGGGGGAAACACTGTCATAAATGGTACGAATGATGAGTTATCTCTTCCAAAATGTGGTAGTACCCCTCACTGCCGTGGACACGTTCCAGGAGCCCCAGGGAGGGAGGCTTGCAGTCCTGGGTGGCACTGGACGCCGTGCACGAGAGAACTTTCATGGAAAGTGGAATTGAAAGATAAATTTGGGAGCAGGCATTGTGGCACAGTGAATTACGCCACGGCTCAGGATGCCCGCGTCCCACATTGGAGTTCTTGGGTTTGAACGTTGGCTCCACATCAGTTTCCAGCTTCCTGCTAACTTGCACCCTGGAAGGCAGCAAGTGGAGATGACTCAAGTCCTTGGGTCCCTGCCACCCACACAGGGACCAAGCCGAGTTCCTGGCTCCTGACTTCAGCCTAGCCCAGCCCAGCCCCGCGTGTGTGTGTGTGTGTGTGTGTGTGTGAGAGAGAGAGAGAGAGAGAGAGAGAGACACAGAGAGAGACTGTTAAATACTTAAAAGATGTTTGTATCAGCACCAAAAAATTTGAAAGCTGCGTGTGATATTTTTTCGTGGCATGCATTTCACAACTCTCACTTCAGGCAAATAAAACTTTAGGTGAACCGTTCTGAGCCTGGTGGGGATTACCTCTGATTTTCTGGGGGAGAAAGCAGTATTTGAAATTCAGTGTTACAGAGAGGGTGGGAGAGACAGATCTCCCATCCACTGGTTCACACCCTCGTTGGCCACAAAGGCAAGCACTGGCCGTGTGGAAGCCAGGAGGCAGGGGCTCCATCTGGTCTCCCATGTGGGTGCAGGGGCCCAAGCACTGGGGCCATCTTCCACTGCTCTCCCAGGGTGCTAGCAGGGAGCTGGATCGGAAGTGGAACAACAGGGGCTTGAACTGGTGCCCATGTGGGATGCCAGCCTGGCTGGGTCTTGCCTGTAGCTTGTCGTGATGGCGGATGTGGCTACGAAGTTGATGATTTCTGGGTGGAGGTTGGTGTGAAACAAAGGCGGAGACTGATTCTCGTGGCCCGCCCCAGAGGGCTGTGGTGGTGTGAGGGAGCCCAAGCCGGTGTGCTTGGCGAGGTGCTGGCATTTTCAGCGCCGACTCCAGCCAGAGGCTCTGAGCACAGCTCTGCCGCCGTCGTTGGGAAGATGGCTGTGTTAATTAACTCCTTGTAAATAGCGTGGCTCCTAGGGAAGGCGAGGACGAAAATGTCAGATTTCATACAGTACTGGGGGAGGGGTGGCCACTGCCCTGATGTCCAGCCCGGGCCCAGACTGGCAGCCTGGAGTCTGGATTTGGTGCCAGAGTGGCCGGTCTGAGCTGTGGGGCAGGTGCCTCAGCTGGGGTTCTGCAGGGAGGGCCCCACAGAGGATCCGGACAGGGTGTTCTCCACCCCCACCCCCGTGAAAGCTGCACGCGCACCGTAAGCCACTTTTCTTTAATGGAAGGCATATATTTATGTAAGCCGATGCCTGATCTTTCCTTTGATTGCGTGATGGAGATTCTGCTTATCAATTTTTCAGGAAGCCATCTAATTATACAAATTAAAATTCAAAGGAAAGCAAAAAGAATGATTATGCCTCACTTGGGGGTTGGGGGCGGGGAGTGGGTCCGCCATGCTGTCATGTTTCATCTCGCGCCCGAGCTCTGGGTCGCGGGAGGGGCGGCCGGGCCTGGCTCAGGCTAGGGCAGCCTCTGTCTGTGACACTGTGTCCACCTTTGCCGGGGCAGGAGGCCTCTCACCTGGTCGCCAGCCATCCTGAAGCTGGGGTTCCTGAGAAGCGTGGGACCCACCGGCGGGGTCACCCCACCCTCTGAGGGCAGCCCCCACCTCTGGCTGGGCCAGTATGGTTTACAGGGAGGGGCTCATAGGGGACTCCTCATGTTGGAAAGAACTGAATTTCGCTGGGATGCTGCATTAAGTATTTATGTGATGGGAAACTGTTCTTTTTCCTAGCTTTTTTTTTTTAATTATATAATTATCATCATAAATCTTTAGGAGTCCTGTTGCTGGGAAATTAGCCATTAACTACCAGGAAGTCGCCTACCTTTAAATCCTCAGACCTGCAGCCTGACCTTTGATGAAGTAACTCCCAGCGTTTTGCATAATTGATGAGCGTGCATCATAACCCTCGCTTTAACCCTGTGCTCTCTCGGGCTCCTGTCCCCTTCCGTCTGCCGAGTAGCTGAGGACAACTTTGCGAGTGTGTGTCCTGCTTTCAGAATCACACCAGTTAGGTTGCATTCTCTGAAGAGCTCATAAGGTGGGATTCAAAGTACTGTGTAGTTTTTTTAGAGTTGTATTTATTAGAGAGAGAGAGAGAGAGATTGTCCATTGATTGATTCATGCCTCTAAATGGCCCCAGCGGCCAGGCCACAGCCAGGAACCCAGAGCTCCCGTCTGGGTCTCCCATGTTCTTGGACGGTCATCTGCTGCTTTCCCTGGTTCGTCAGCAGGGAGCTGCATGGGAAGTGGAGTTGCCGGGACTCGAACCAGCGCTCCCATTTGGGGATACAGGATGTAGGGAGCAGAGCTCCACCTGCTGCATGCAGCACAGGGCCGACTGCAAGGGGTTGTCCACATTTTAGCAGACGAGCGCACTCGGATGGGGTGCCAGTGGATGATTGGAGCCCTGACTGTGCGTTGGCTGAGAGCAGACAGGTCAGACCTGCAGCACCACTCAGCGCTGACTGCCCGCAGGAGCAGGTGTGGGAACCCTCGCCCCCGTCCTCTGTCACGTTGGGTTTCCCTCTGGAGAGTCCCCCATACCCAGTCTCAAGGGCAAGACCCTCCGTCTTCTGCCTTGACGGTGGTGATGAGGAAGTCTGGGTAGGCTCGAGTGCGACTCGTCCTTGCTAGAACCTCTTCCGGCCTGGGACTGTGCCCTTGCCCACCTGGGTCCCCGCCTGGAAGGGAGCCCTGGGCAAGCAGCAGGGGAGGGCTCGTGCTGTGCTGTGCTGGGGCTTTGGCCTTGACCTGAGGCATCTCGGGCAGTCATGGTGGGTGTCTGTTGGCCTGCCGGGGCCATCGTGCCTGGGACTCAGCGCCCTGTGGGTCCAGCTGTCTGTCGCTTGGTCTCTGGTGTTGGGGCGCTCGCTATTACAGTGGTTGCCCGGGAGCACAGTGGTGTCTGGCTCTGCGAGAGACCCTCTGCAGCCGTCTGCTGCTTTTGGAAATCAGCACCCGTCATCTCCCTGTGCCCTTACCCCTGCCCCCCGGCAGAAAGCGGGAGCTGGGTGGACGCGGGGCAGCCCCTGTCCACCCCTGTCCACCCCCGTAGCCAGCGACAGTGAAGTCCTAATGCCGTGTTGTCTTGCGTGCCGACGGTGTGCAGAGAGTAAGGATTCTTTTCTCCTTGTTTCAGGGTGCGTAGTGGCGTCATGCACGCAGACTCCTGCGAGTTCCCCTAAGTTCTTAGAGGACCGCTTTGCCTTTTGAATCAGAGAGTTGCAAAGTTCCCTAAAGAATGGCCCTTGTGGATAAGCACAAAGTGAAGCGACAGCGGCTGGACAGGATTTGTGAAGGTAAGAGCCGGCGTGTGCAGCGTGCCACACCAAGACCTGTGCTTCCTCACTCTAACCCTCAAAGTCTGCTCACTTCCGGAATACACCACACCCCTGCCGCCTGGCCCGGCCCCTCCTCCCCTCCGGTCCAGGGTCCCTCTTCCTGTTCTAGCATCTTCTTCCACCAGGCCCCCTCTGTGCAGCATCCTGTGTGGGCAGGGCCTGGCTTCTGGGGAGCGGTGGCCGACCCGGGTTCCACTTCTCCCCCAAACCTACGGCTGTTTTGCGTACATATTAGGACCATCTTTTGTTAACGTCCTGGAGTTTCCGCACTGTCTGTTTTGAATTAAGATATTTACAACAGCGGATTCCCAGATAGTCCTAAAGAGCCCCGCATTGCCCCTCATGATGTGTTCAGGTCCCTGGTATCTTTGCGAATGTCTGGAAGTGTTTTATTCATGAAAGGAAAAATAAACATAATTAAAATCTAATGGAAACCCAGGGACGAAACTCTGAAATGTTGATTAAGTACAGACCTCTCCTACTTAGCAAACGGTAAGAAAGCCAGAGCCAGGGGCCCAGGGCTGGGTATCCGTGCAGCTGGGCTAGCCTCATCTCAGGGTGTAGCCCGGGCTAAGCCTTGGCTCAGTACAGTGACGGGTACTTCCCCACAGGGTGTGGGCCCAGCTGCCCCCTTCTCACTGCCCTGTCCGTGCCCAGCTCGTGGGCAGGAGCACACAGCAACCCCTGGAGCTGGCCGCAAGGACTTGCTGGTCCGCACGGAGCCGGGTATCAGAGCCTTCCCGCCGTGCCCCAGGACGTAGTAGCACTGGCTGTGGCCCACGTCACTGGGGTCCTGCTGCGATGTGAGGACTTGGGTGTTTCACGTGTTCACCACGTCCAGCACCCCCAGAAAGGCCGATAGAGTGGTGCAGTGAGTGGTAATCATGCCTTCCACGGCGTTTCCCCGGGGGTAGCGTTTGCTTTGCGTGGAGCTATGGAAGCACGTGTGTGTGCTTGTGTGGAGGGGTGCGGGAGGATGGGTGGCTTTTCCCAGAACCATCTGGAAAGTGTTGTAGGTGCAGCAGCATGTGTCTCCTTCTAGGAGGTTTTCCTACAGAAACATAATACACACACACACACACACACACACACGGGAGTTTGGCTGCATTGCGCTCTGGTGTAATGCAGGCCACACAGCCATACCCCCACGCGTCTGTTCTTAGCTGTTTAGTCGTTTGCCTGCGCGTGCGGGAACTTGCCACCGGTCACGCGGTTGCCCTTTTCTTTAGTCTGCAGAGCCTAGAATAGTCTCTGCAGTCCTCACCTGGCTGTCCGACCTTGATCATCACTGTCTGACCTTGATCATCCCTGAGGTTGTTGAGGAGCGGGGCTGCCTGGTTCATGCAGAGTCTGCATCCGAGCGCTTGGCCCTGCCTGGGGAAGGTGTCTTGCTGAGTTCCTGAGTCCTGCCCTCCCCGAGAGGCAGGGGCGCCAGTCAGGGTGACCCACCCACCTCCTGCTCCAGGAGCCAGGGGCTGGCCGCGCGTTGTTACGGTGTCAGTCCACACCAGCCCCGGTCCTGCCGCTGGGATTTGCGGGAATTTCAGCATCACCTTTACCTGTGCATGCAGTCCCAGCAGCAGTCGGTCACATTTTAATTGCTTTTTAAGATTTATTTATTTATTTGAAAGAGTTGCACAGAGAGAGGGAAAGATGTCTTCCATCTGATGGTTCACTCCCCAGTTGGCCACAACAGCCAGAGTTGTGCTGATCCGAAGCCAGCAGCCAGAAGCTTCTTCCCGGTCTTCCACACGGGTGCAGGAGCCCAAGGACTTGGACCATCTTCTTGTGCTTTCCCAGGCCACAGCAGGGAGCTGGATCAGAAGTGGAGCAGCCGGGTCTCGAACCAGCGCCCATATGGGATGCTGGCGCTTCAGGCCCTGCAGGGCATTAACCCACTGCGCCACAGCGCCGGCCCCTTTAATTTCTTGATACCTGCTTTGAACAAAGAACAAACCAGTGGCTTGGGTGTAGGTCTGATCTGTGATCCCGTTCATCTGAATCCCAGCTGCCCGAGGTGTTTCGTTGGTCATCTTCCCGTGTGCAAGCTGATAAATGCCTTTATAGACTAGAGCAGGCATACCCATTTCACAGGTGCTGCCGGTGAGGCACGGGGTGGTTGGCAGTTTGTGCCCTGGAACCCCAGAAGTTGGCTGTTCTCCCCCAGCGTTTGACTCAATTCCACACCGTGGACTGTTTGTTCTGCCTGTAGTTCTTGCACACCTAACACGTGTGTACATACGCACACTCCCAGCTTTGGAGTTCCGGTTCTTCAACCTGAACTACTTGAACAGTGCCCCGTGCACATTCCTCCTGCCCCCCTGGACGTCTGGCGTCCCTTAGGGGTTGCTGTGGTTTGGTTTTGAGTGATTGGAGGTGGGAAGCCGGCCTGCTCTGAATACCAGCTTCTCCCAGGCTTAGGGGAACTCTGTCCGTTGGCACTTGGTCTGTGGCACCGCTAACTCCTAACCCGCCCCTCCTGCTGCCGTCACCGCCTCATGCAGGGCTGTGCCGGCATGGGCGAGCTTCCCCAGGGTTCCATTTTGGCGAAATCCAGGCTTCACCCCTGGGTGACTTCTCCCTACCTTCGGAGGCTGGCCAACCCTTCTTGGGCCGGCCCTGCCCCCTGCTAGCCCGTCCCCTCGAGCAGTGGCCCCCGAGCATGGGCCTTCCTGTCTGCCAGGGAGCTGCATGCCCGTGGGAACGTCTCTGCTCTGAGCCTGGGGTGCAGCCGGGGTCTCTGGGACGCCTTCCAAATCCACTGGAATAACGAATGTCTTTCATGCTGACTTAAAAGCCAGATTCTAATTTTTTTAAAGCAACCTTTCTGTTTTGATATTTATAATTTGTTCTCTGCTTCCTCTTGATGCCTGCTATCAAATAATCCTAGAGTGCCGTTGAGTTAGAATTATTACGGAGCAGCCTTTGATACAGGAGGCAGGTCACAGGCGGCTGCCGTCTTGTCTTTTTGATGTATAATTTAGGTCTTGGCTTTCCTGTCTGTTCAGTTTGCTGACATAATTGATGCGTTGCGTTTGTGAATTACACCAGCCGGTTGGAAGACCTTATTGCATCACAGCAGAGCTAGATGGCTTGCCCCAGATACTTGCGGCCAGAGACAGCGCTTCCGCTCACTCCCCACCGTGGGCGAGGCCGGCGAAAGTGCTTCCCTGCACCATGGAGTTGTGCAACGGTCATGCACCTGCCACGTGGCCTGGCTGACGGCTGCATGTGCGCACCGGAGCTCTCTGAGTAGTTTGCTGGAACGTCTCGGGGTTGTGGACCTGGGATAGAGGGCTTTTCCATTCCGAAATGAGTGCCAGACCAAACCCCCTCGCCTCTGGGCCCTGCTCGTGAGCACAGGGGAAAGGGGGAGGAGCCGGCGTGGGCTTTCTCTGCCCCGGTGGTCACAGTGAGTGGAGGAAAACCTGCCCCCCTGGACTTCTCTTGCGTTGAGTTTTTCTGGTCTGATGGGGTGAGCTTCCGCGGGACATTCTCTCGAGAACCTTCCTCAGTGGCCCAACTGGCAGAGTTGTCCAGGGCCAGCTGAGCCGCCCCCTGGTGGACGGGGCGGGGTGTCCGTACCACGGACCCGAGTGTCGTCCTTTCTTTCCTCGTGGGAATATCTGACACCTCGCTGCTGTTTTTCCTCGTGTGTTTTTGTTTGTTTCTGGTACCTGTTTTGTCTTATCGAGCACTTGGCGCTCTCTGTGTGAACAGCGTTGGCGCCTGTGCTGTGAACGTACTCAGCAATCGTTTCTAGCAAATATCTTTAAAAAGCCCCAAAAAGTGAATTATAAAATGGGATTCATGATGTTGCTATACATTATAATTATATGTTGGGATCAGGCAATTATCCACATTTCTAGTAATTAGGTGATTAGCTGTAATTACATTAGCTATGTAAATATACAATAGTCAACTAAACATGGCTTAAAACTGCACAGTGCAGATGAATGGGCTGAAACAATGGTAAACCCCCGTGAAGGACCCTCAGGCTCAGGAACATGGTCGGACAGAAACCGATTTTCCAGGAAGAGAGAATTCCCCGTGTTAAGTGGCCACAGTTTTAAGCTGATTTGGAGAAGTCCTGGTGTCCACCCTCTCCATCCCTGCCCCGTCCTCTGGGATTTGGGGTCCCACAGCTGCCCGCGCCCCATCAGGCTCACGAGTTCTGTGACTGGAACCAGGGTTGCCGGTTTGTGGTTTCCACACCCCCCATCCCCCTCCATCTGTCCATCTCGTTTCCCCTGCCCTGGTCGGACAGGTGGGTGTGCACCTGAAGTGGAGCAGCTGGCTTCTTGGAGGCCTCCCACAAGGGGACAGGCAGTGGGTCCTTTGCGACCATGCCCCCCAGGCCACGCACAGTCCTCTGCGTTGAGCCAGACAGCATGGGCAGCCTGTGGCATTCCAGGGAAAGTTCTCCCCGCGCCCATTGTGTGTCAGGAGAAATGCAAAGCGTGTGGCGACTGTCCTGGAAGGCCAGGGCTCTCGTCGGAGGCCATGGCAGGGGCCCGGTGGCCTGTCTCCATGGGTACGTGTGTCCATCTCATTGCATGGGTGGCAGATTATCCAGACGAGGGACGAGAGCCATAGAGGATGGGTGTGGCGCTGGATGCTGGTGGAAGGAAGAAAGTTCTGGAACGGAGAGCCCTGCAGCAATGGAGTGTGGTGGAGAGGGAGCGGCGTGGAAGCAGGTGGGGGCTCACGCAGAGGCGCGACTCCGCAGGGAGGGTTTTCTCCGAGAGCAGGGAGGTGGAGTTCCCCGAGCACCTCCTGAGAGGCAGGTCCTGGACAGCTGCTCCCAGCGAGCGGTGACGTTCCAGGGACTCCAGCTCCTGCACCTGTCACGCATGGACGTGGGCCCTGAGTGTGTGCAGGGAGTCAGACCTCGTCTTCACAGCTCAGGAACTGTGGAAGTGTGGACGAGACGTGGACTGGGAGCAGCACACTCTGTC